TAATGACGTGATACTAATGTTTCTCAAAATTAATTTGGATTCATGTCGGATAAATCTACTATGGAAGCTATACATTTATTGAGAGGTTTGATAGAGAAATATAGGGAGAATAAGCTAGGATTTGCATATGATATTTATTGAATTAGAGTAAGATTATGATAAAGTTCTAAGAGATGTGTTATGGAGAGTTTTAAAAAGAAGGGGTTAATAATGCGTATTCTCAAGTCATTAAGGATGTGTATGCATGAGCTATTACTTTTGTTCAAACACAAGGAGGTTAGACAATATTTTCCTATTTTAGTTGGATTACATCGGGGATCATCTTAAGCTCATATATTTTTACTTTAGTTATAGATGTTCTTACTAGACATTTGCAGGAAGATATACTCTGTAACTCTGGTATATGCTTTTTGTTAATGATACTCTTCTTGTTGATAAGACTATATAGGGAGTTTGTTTAATTAGATTGTATGTTTGTAAGAAAATTTGTTCATGCATGGCTCACTCATTATCTTATTTAATTAATGCATTTTTAATTAGTGTGAAATAGCTTGATACTAATAATAGATTTATCGAATTGCTTACTCATTTATATTCAAAATATTATTTATTAATATAAGAAGTACTCATTAATTTTCTTAGCTTATTTTTATCTACTTTAAACACCCATTAAATTAATTTAGAAAAATCAAGAAAAGCTAACAACTGGATTTCAAGTTGAACATGAACAACTTTTAATATGACCAAGTCCAGTCCTGTTCGGCGTCGTCGGCGTGATCAAGAGGTTCAGCAATAGGACAGAGGCTGGCTGGATGTCGCAGTCTTGGAGGCTTCGCGTGCGGTGGAGGTCACGTAAAGCTTCGTGTAAAGAAGGTCTTGTGCAGAACAGATCAGTTGAAGAAGCTTTCATAACAAGGACGACATCAGGAAGAGGGAGGAGGTCGTGTGAAGAAGCTTCAGGCGAGGAGGCTTTGTATGTTTTTTGGTCGCAAGGGAAGCTTTCAGGAGAAGATGTCGAAAAGCTTCTTCACGCGCACGGCGTCTGTCGAATTCATTGGATTAGGGCTAAAATTTTAATACATAAAAAATGAACAAGAGGAGAATTCCAAATCCTTTAATTAACTTACTGTGCAGTCTTATATTTAACTTTATGATTGCAATACTTATAGAAAGGCAATCCCTTAGTCGATTATCTAATTTAAGATCTTGACAATAACTTATAATTAATTATGATCATTATCAGTCATGTTATTTGTAGCGGCGGATTTAGGAAGTGCTCTACATGGAGGATTGCTCATTCTAATTTTTTTTTGTGCTTCGTACAATAAATATTTTAACTATTTAGTTCACTTTTAATAAATGCATTTGCGCGAAATTTATAGAAAAATTTTCTTTTCTAGTTCAACCCTCACTACAGAAAAATTGTCAATTACCAACGACTTTTTCCGGCGATTATATATCATAAATTTTCTAAACTGCCGATATAAACCGCGTAGGAAATAAATTGTGGTGGTCAATTTACGCCAGCTAAATTTTCCGGCGGCTAACACAGCCGGTAATTTTTGGCGGTTTTAGCGCTGGCGACTACCTGTTAATTACCGGTAGCGTACGTACTGGCCATCTCAAATATTGGCCATCTCAAATGATGGTATTTACCGGCGGCTATATTAAAATTCCAGCTGGAGTGAGAGCGTGATCATCGGCCTTAAGTACGTTACGGTGTCGGCGGCCGGATTTCTGCAGAGGCAGTCGAAGGTGAGCGCGAGCGTCTGGAGGAAAACAATACGAGAACAAATGTGGAGGAAGGGTCGGTTTGGCCAATTTTAGGTCAATTTTTGACGGTTTCTACGGCTAGAAAAAAATACTTAACACCGGCGGCTTAGGCGCACATGAAAACTGCAAAACCAGCTTTATGATTGGCTTCTACTATAGTAAGGTCGAAAGGTTCCTTAGATTTTTTATTTTTTTATTTTTTCATTTTCTTGATTGTAGTTTTTTTGAGCAGTAGCGGGCAATCGTGTTTTTAAGGATTTGTACTAATTTGTTTAATCAATGCGTAGGCCCTTTCATGAGTTTTAAACCAAAAAAAAAAGTCCACCTTCAAAAAAGAGGATGATTACGTCCGACTTTTTTATGCCTATCAAACTTTATTTGTATTTGTAGTCTCTTCTATGCAAATTCTATTTTATTAACTTATAGGAAAAGTACATACTCTTAAGAAAAGTTATAATCATTATCATTAGCTGGTTTAGTAAAAAATTCTCCCTAAGTAAACATTTGTTTTAGTCTATTACTAATTATTAACCAACTTAAGAAAGTGATCCATTTATGTAACACCTCTTTTGTCAGGTGTAGCAACACTCTTAACTTAAAATGTTTTTGAACATCACAACAGTAACAATGGAGAAAATTATATCAAAATAATTAGATATTTATCAGAAAAAAATAAAATAAATGGTAAGATGCAAAAAAATAGTTAAAATTAGAAGCATTTAAATTTTTTGGCAAGATTACGTACAATGATTCTTGATAATATATTATATATGTAACATGAGGGTATTCGTATGGATGCTTTGAAAATTATTGATAATATAAATTACAAAGTCTATCAACTATATGCAGCTAATGTTATTTCTGGTAAGAACTTTAAAAACTGCAGTTTTTTGGCTCATTATTTCGGTATTACTCTTGATTCTGTTGAGTTTAGAAATAGGGAGAAAGTTGTTAGATGGCTGAAACCGTGCTTACCTTTTTTCAAATTGAACACGAATGGTTCCGTGGGATCTGTTGCTGCTGGAATGGGAGGCATTCTTCGTGATTCTTACGGTGATGTTATTTCTGCCTATGCCTCTTCTTTAAATTACTGTAAAGTTATTTATGCGGAAATGAGGGGTTTACTCTATGGTTTGGAATTGTGCTATAAACTCAAGGTTACTAATATTGTCATTGAAGTGGATGCTTTGAGCCTTATACAGTTGTTGACCAAAAATTTTATGAGTTATCCTGAATTTATTTATATTTTGAGGAAAATCAAAATTTTGATGGAAGGTTTAAACTGCACTTTAGTTCATATTTTTCGCGAAGGTAATGCGTGTGCTGATTTTTTAGCCAAGAAAGGTTGCCTCATTAATGGTATGGAAGAATTCTCGTGCAGTAATCTCCCTCAACAGCTGAAAGGTTTAGTTAGATTGGACATATTGGGTATGCCTTATATTCGTTACTTTTAGTGATATATCCTGTTAATCATTTTGTATTTATTTTTCTATTACTATTGGATGTTTTTGTTGCCTGGTGCTGATTTTATTATCGCTGGAAGTGTTTTGTCTCTATCAGTTCAGGTGGATTTGCTGGAGGTTTTGTCTGGGATGGAAGTTTACATCTCGGTTTTAGCTCTTTCTTTTTACCGTTCTTTGTTTTTTCCTTGTTTTGTTTTTCTGCTTCTATTTTTGCAGGTTGCTTCCACCTTGAGGAAGTTTTTGCCAGGAAGACGGGTGTCACTGCTTATCTGTTGATCTTTCTTATTTTTTGGGCGTTCCCTGATCGCCTTAGAATGTTGCTAGGTATTATTGTATTTTGCTTAGATAGGGTTTTTTCGGCCTTTAGTTTTTGTTTCCTTTTTGAATGATTGTAGCTCCTTGAGCATTAGTTGGCTGAAAATCCCTTTAAGGACTTGTAATTTGTTTTTATATCAACGCGTAGGCCCCATTGTGGGTTTCCAGAAAATAATAATAATAATAATATATTATATCTGAATTTAAATGTTCTTCTTCTATATTTTATTATTTTATAATTTTATCCTAATATAAAATATATTATGTTATCTTAGTATAATTTTCTTAGTAATATTGTGAACATTTTTATTGATCCATTATAGTTATTATTTATCTCTACTCTTATTTTGTTCCAACAACAACAACATCAAGCTTTTATCCCACTGCATGAATCTTTTTTCTCTATTGTGTTTTTTTTTTTTAAGTGTCAAATTCTCATTTAAATCTACCAAAAAGATTAAGATCATTTCTAATACTTTATAGCCAAATATGTTTACGTCTGCATCTATCTTTCTTAACATAAGCTAAATCTAATACATTTGCTCTCCTAATTTGGTCATCGTAAGGCTGTCGTTTTATAGTGCTTAAGAGCATTAACACATACACTTGTAATAAATTAATTTAATCTTACAAATTTGCCATCAGACAAGTTAATTAAAGTATAATCTAAATAATTAACAACTAATGAGAGAGTCTATGATTATTAAACTCAATGCAAATGGAATACCCATCTAAGCATATTAGAATAATTAAACATCAAACACCTAAGACACAAAGGTCCATCACAAATATCCAAACAATGTGATAAAATGATAAAATAATACTTTTTGCTAGCAAGAGTGTGATTAGAAATTTGAGTACAATCATATAAATCTCTCTCTAACAAATTTAGCACAAAAGTAATTATAATATGATCATAAAAATATTTTTAAGCAAAAATAACAAATTAATTAAATTACCAACAACTAATTAAACTATAGAGATTTGACTACAATTTCCTTAATAATTTAGAAATGCTTTGAAATGTAAAACTACATTTTCTTAGTCAATTTTAATTACCTATTAAATAATTCTATATGATCTTGCAAAAATATTTAATCAATTCATATAAATATAATTTCTTAAAATATTTTTTAAATATTTTAATTGTATTCATTAATTTTGAATATTTTGGTAAACCAAACATAAATATTTCACAATAAATTCTAACTAAGACAAATGCACCAATTTTCATGAACCTTAAAATTTTTATTTAGTCTTTATGTCGAGTTCATCTTTCATATGAAAAAAAGATTAACAACAATTATCTCAATCTTGATAATCATAATAAAATTATTAGCATATAATAAAATACTTAATAATTCATTAGATGAAATCACTTTAAATTTGTTGTAATTAAATTATATATATATATAACAATTATCTTCCTCTTTATCTCTCTACAGTTCGCTCTTGCTGCCTCTCTTTCCTCGTTATTTCTATATTCTCCCACTCCGTCCCTCATCTCACTTCTATCCTTCCCTTCTTCCCTTCCACTTTTCTTGACTTTCTCCTTTCCATCCGCTTTTACTTCAAACTTCTCAAATTTCCTCCTTAAATCCCCCCAAAAAAACAAACAATAATTAATCTGTTATTTCTTTTTATTTTACTTAGAAGCTTGATCGATCATGGCGGGCCTAGATCTCAGCACCTCCGCCCACTTCCTCCACCACTTTCACCATCTTCCCAATCACACTCCCACCTCATCAGACCACAACAACTCCGACGACAACGTTTCCCCTTCCGCCGCCAAAGCCGGGGCCTTTGACCTTATCTCCCCCGGCGAAGTCATCGGCTCAAGACCACGTGGCCGCCCACCTGGTTCCAAGAACAAACCCAAGCCACCAATCATCATCACCCGCGAGAGCGCCAACTGTCTGCGGGCCCACATCCTCGAGATCTCCGGCGGCTGCGATATCTTCGAAAGCGTTGCTAATTACGCTCGCCGCCGGCAGTGCGGCGTCTGTGTACTCAGCGGGAGCGGCACCGTCACCAACGTCAGGCTCCGGCAACCGGGCGGATCCGGCGGCGCAGTCGTCTCTCTCCACGGTCGCTTCGAGATCTTATCTCTTTCGGGATCCTTCCTTCCGCCGCCGGCGCCACCGGGAGCCACCTCGCTCACCGTCTTCCTTGCAGGAGGTCAGGGGCAGGTGGTCGGCGGGAGTGTCGTGGGCCCGTTGATTGCCGCAGGACCCGTGATAGTTATATCCGCCTCCTTCACGAATGTAGCGTATGAACGGTTACCGCTGGAGGAGGAGGAGGCGCCTCCGCAAATGGAGCTGCCCGTAGGCGGCGAGGAAGGCGGCGGCGCCGGCGATTTTGTCGATCCGTCGGGAGTCGGATTGCCGTTTTTTAATCTACCGTTGAATATGGAGAGCTTGCCTTTTCCATCGTAAGTCCGTGAGGTTGGAAGTTGCAAAGGTTTGAACTTGGAATCGAAGGGTTTTGCTCTGTGTGGACATTAATTAGTTTATAAATATATCTACTCTCTGTCTTCTTAATTTTCCATTTTTCTGCTTGTGTTCTTGGTCTCATCGGATGGCTTTCATGTATTATTACTATAATTTTTTGTTATATTTATTTCAAGATCCAATCTTTAGCAGAAGTTCAAGTACATAAGCAGCCAGCGGTGCCAGCCGCCAGTATCGTTTGAACAAACTGTCCACTAAGTAAATTCAATCCCTCGGTGAATTTCTTCGTCCCTATCACCAAATCTGCACGGAGCTGCCGGCGGCCTCTCCGGCCGCTACCAACTCCTTGAGCTTTGTTCCCGTCGCGATCATCGTTGGATTCTTGTTCTTGACAGAAGTTTGATTCTGCCATCAAATCACAATAAGATGTTTTGAAATTATGTGTGATTGATTCATCGGGGAAGATTCAAAGTTCAAAATTGTCGCAATCTGTCCAACTCGCAAAATTATGAGTCATTTCACCTATAAGAAGATTGGAGCCACTTGGCCATTTTCGGATCTTCCAGCTGCTCATAGCATGGATAATATTTTTTGAGATTATTCTGACTCTTTCTTATATGCAGTGATTTGTGAACCGTCAGTAGTATTGGTTTGTCATCTCTTGGACAATCAAGCCATTAAAATTTTAATATATCAACTGCATTGTTGTTTTTGTTGTTGACAACTTCAATGAGGTACCCTCCATTAATTTGGAAATAATGGAGTTTTGTAGGAGCTACCTTGGAGATCCACCACTTGTCGACCGCCATGGGCTGGCTAACATATTACCCAATCGATCTGACTAAGCCAACCCAGAAGGAGAATTGTTTAGTCACTTTTTAAAACGAGAAGGGAACCATATATTTCATTTGTTTGATTCAAGGCATTAATTTGTTGGATTATGTGGATTTGTTTTAAACAACCATTTTTTACACACTTTGGACTAGGAGCACATATAGGCATTGTATAGGATCCTAGAGTTTTGATTGCTTTTAGGGAAACCATATAACCATACTTGTTCTCATGCTTATTTGATATTTAGCGATTGATGTTATATGACTTTATCACTAATTGATGTTCATCGCCCAACATATATCTTATTCCTAAACATCATCAATCAAGGCCGTCAACCTAGCTTTATCTTTAGTTGGTGTCCATTGCCCGACATCTTACTCTTAGACGTCATCAATTAATGCCCTTGGTAAACACCATGTTACATCTACGGATTATCAAAATTGGTTAACATGAGACTATACATTGAGAAATATATATACCCCCATACAAGAACATCATATACCATATCATCTTTTGGCTTTGGTTATCATTCTTTCACCAAGTTTTCTATCAAATAGCATATGTTTGTGTCCTATAATAGATGATAGCATTGGTCAACGATGACATTGTCGTGTGACATTTGTCAGTTTCCATTGGCATCACCATACACCTCATATGCTTACCTAAGAGGCAGACAATTGATACTACATAAATAACTAGTCATTGTGATAATTTATGGTGCTCTAACAAATATTTTTTATGGTGCATAATCTATAATTAGAATGTTAGGCAAATGTAGCTTAAGTCGCTCTTTGAATAGGATTAATGGAAATTTTAGTCGCCCCAAAAAACAAGCTTTTCTGGCTTATAAATATGCTAAAGTGCCTTTACAGAATGATATGAACTTTTTTTTTCGAGTTTTTCATGTAAAAAAAAAATTGTCCTCCAAATCTTTTCAACCCTATTTAACTTTATATGTAGAAGTTTACACATAACTCATAAAGTATTTATTATCATTAATTTTCTAACCCTCAATAAAAATAAAAATAAATCAAGTACATACTTGGATGTACAACCAACATTAATATTTTTAATGTTATAATAAAAATTCATTTTAAATGACACAAGAATATAATATTTTATAGAATTAAATGTTCTTCTAAAATTCTATCCATCTATAGTTTAAACTTTTTCCTTGATAATAAAATAAACAAGAGTCACAAGACATATTTTTAAATGAAGAAAAAACTTAATATTTTTATTACAAACATGAAAATATAGAAGTTGAATTAATTTTAGTCACAAAGCAAAAGAAATAAGAAAAAACAGATAAAATTTTGATTAAAAAAAAGAACACTTGCCTAAAGTACAACAAGCTAAGAAACTAAAATTAGTATGTTTCCATTTTAGATTTAACACAACTCTTTAATAAGCTAAATACTGATTCATTGAAGGTTCCTTAAAATAAGCAGTAGAGTTCACGAGGAAATAATCTTCAGACCTAATATTTTTATGGATGAGATTATATATGATCTTCATGAGCTCTTGAGGGATCCAATGGAAGAAAATTTCTTGGTGGTGGTGAAGTATGAATAATAGGGCTATGTTGTGCTCTGATCAAAGGTGGTGAAAGACGAGAAAGAAAAAAATAATCATCATTAATAAAATGAAAATTATGAAAGAAGATTGCAAAAGGCTAAATCAAAACATGATCATAATAAAAGAAAATAGATAAGGGAGAACAAACCTGAAATTCATTAAGGGTTCATTTGAGACGGCTTTCTTACTGTATCTTAAATCCGTTTTCTAGTACAAAAATTAAAATTTTTATACTAAAAACTATTTTAAGAAGCAGTAAAAAAGCGGTCCCAAACGAATCCTAAGTTTAACAAATAGAAACCTAACTTTTTAGTGTTTCCTTCATTGTCTCCTGATTTCTCTAAGGAAATCTGTCAAATATAAAGATTACAAAATTATTTCCCTTTTGCTTAAGAAAAATTCAATGAATAATCAATCTTGTCACTTGATCCAAGATAAGGGCTTTGAATTTTCTCAAAGGGAAAATTGGCAACGTATATCAGCAATATTTCTATTTTAGGGAATTGAGTGTTGATACACAATTTTTATTATAATATTTGCCAAAGACATAGGGGACCTTGATCGATCTGCCTGAGTATAATAATTTTCTCAGGAGGCTGAATAAATCAATAGGTAGGGTTTCTCATAGGCTGAACAAATCATAACTAAGACAGCTTTTCTCCTTCTTATATAGTTAGCACTGTGTGGATTGATATTGGTTACTGATCCCACATGCGCACATTATTGCCCCCAAAGACTTCCCGGCTTTTATATTTTGGAGCTAAGCCCTTATGCTCTCTCTCTCTCTCTCTCTTGGTGTTAGAATATTAAAATATTTTGAGATCTCTATTTTTTTTTTTCAAATAAAATAATAAAATTTATGAAGTTCAACTAACTTAAGCTTCGTTTGGGACAACTTTCTTACTCCTTCGTAAAACAGCTATATAGTACAAAAATAAAAATTTTTTGTACTATAAAGCTGCTTTACAAAGCAGTAAGAAAGTCGTCCCAAACGAAGCTTAAAGCTTCATTTGAGAACACTTTTTTATAGCTTCAATAGGAAATTTACTGAACTATAATTTTTTATATTATAAAACTACGGTAAAAAACAATAAGAAAGTTGTCCAAACATATAAGGACTTGAGCTTTGTTTGAAATAACTTTCTTATTGTTTTATTTTTCATATTGTAGTCATAATTTTTATTTGAGTATTATATTTGTACTGTCAAAAATTTTTGCACTAAAAACTATAGTTTATATTTAAAAAAAAAAATTTTTTTTTGATAATTTTATAATCAATTTTATAAAAATTAAAGTTGCCTCAAACAAATCCTTAATTATTGTTAGTAACTTAGAGATCTACTTCAAATTTATGCTTAGATTCTCGATAATATAATTGATATTTCTTGAGCTTGACACAAGCATTGATTATTGAGAGCTTCCTGGAGAGCATTAATGTCAATAGATGATATAGGCCCCCCCTACACTTAATGCTAAAGGGTAATGTTGATATTTGACTCATTTGAAGATTTGTTTCCTTTGTCTTCTATCACAAATTATTGCCATTGCAACTATTGTGAGGTCTTCTGCAAGTTCATTAGCTACTGAATACGTTAGTTATAGAGAGAATGCAAATTAGCTGAACAAGTACAACTTGCACCTCATCAAAGTCCGGTATGAGGTCCTGGTTGAGTAAAACCATGGGGTAACCGTGCTCTGCGTGAGTAGGCGCAGGCGAAGCCCACCCATGCCCATTCATAGTGACTTTAGAGAAGTTATACCCAATCATACCCATCCACTGTCCACGCTTTTCTAAACGCAATATGCCACAGACTGGTGGCCTTATGGCTTGTTGTGCTTTACTCTAACAACAAATTTTTACGCTGCATATCAAAATTTATCATGATCGCAACGAAGTTCAGAGTTGTGCATTGCATAATGAGGATTACACTAATATACAAACAAGAGCAGAACTATATACTGTTGAGAGGAAGGGGGCACAGCAATTGCCCCCCCTAAAAAAATTAAAAGTCTTAGTATAATAAGAGTTAATTGTAATATGCCCCCTCTGAATTTTATTTTTTACCCCCCAATTGAAATTTTTTCATACAATTTACCCCTCCAAAAATCAGAAAGCCTCTTAGCCTCCCTTTATTTTCATCCGATTATATTAAACTTTTCTAACATTCACAAACAAATCTATAAAAAAACAATTATGTGCAAAATAAATTATTTTTGTACCCTTATATATATATTTTATTTTTTTATAAGTGTCACTTGCCCCCCAAGAGAACCACTCCTACATACGGCATAAAGTGATTAGTAATATAAATCAATTTATCCCCTAATGTTAAATACCCCACCCATGACATATATATAATTTTATGTTGCACATTAAGGTGTATGTGTAGATCTATATTATCCTTCAGCTCGCCTAATGAAAAATATATAATAGAAATATCTCTATTTTTTATATTTAATAAAAATTTAGGACAGCATGATTATATATGCTCTCTCCCAAAAATAACTGAATATCATGTCTTTCAGATATTTATTAAGCTCTGCAACTTAATAATATCATATATTGATGCATGTGATCAATCATATGTATATAATTAATAATCCTGAAATCAAATAGAATTTACATAACAGAACAAGAGTTTGGGTTTTCATCACTAAACCACTGAGGCGCATGGGTGCAGTGAATGAAATAAGGCACGGCAACATCTTTGCTCTTTACTTCTTCTTTCTTTTCACTCTCATCTTCTTTGATCTTCTTTACTTTCTGCTGAACAATTTCTCCACGCTTGCCTGCCTTCTTGTGTATGTATTCGATTAGCTTTTCTTCCTCTACAATCCCAACAACGGTGCAAGTCTGCTCTCCTCTGTCTATTTTCACACTATGAACTCCTGTCATTGTAGTTAGTTAACATGAAATTAGGAGTTAATTTGAGGCTTAGTTCGGGACGGCTTTCTTAATGCTTCTTAAAGCAGTTTTTTAGTATAAAAATTTTAATTTTTAAATAAAAAAATTGTTTTAAAAAGCAATAAAAAGTCGTTCCAAACGAAGCCTGAATATAATTTACTTAATCAAATTGATTAAAGAACGAGATGACCAATTTACCTCTAAGTTTCAGCAATTTATTCTCGAGATCATTTTCACATTTCTCACAATGCAAGTGAAGCTTGATGACTGCGGTTTTAACAACTTCCTAGTAATTAGAGAGAGAAAATATAAAAATATATAGTGCAGATATATTATATGTGAAGAACAACAGTGCTTAGACCTGCGAATTGAATGGAAAGTTTACTTACCTCCTTTCTCATCTTTCCAACTATCTCTTCCTTCCTCACTCCTTTATCCTCCGGCTTAAATGATATCCACTCAACTTTTTTCTTACTCTTCTTCTTAATTAGTTCATGCATCTTCTTTGCATCAAATATTCCCGTGACCGTAACTTTGCCACTCTCCACATCAATATAAACATTTTCTACTCCTGCACAAAACAATGCATTGTTGAAAACTAGTAAAGGATTCATTTTAACAATTAGTAATGATAGGCTTTATCGAAATAAAAATTTGTTGACAAGTCTATATAAACTTGACTAACTTGTTTTTTTTGAGTAATTGAAATCTGAAATCACACGAAGTGCATGCAATGACAAAAAAAGTTGTCATGTTTCGTATATATCTCAAAAAATGCCTCACAATATCTTCAGATTAATTTTCATGAAAACTAACACACATTTTTTCTCGTTTATTATGTGTTCTAATCTCTTTGCAATAAATGAACATATCTTATACAACAACAACATCAAGCCTTCGTCCCACTACGTGGGGTCGACTATATAAATCTTTTTTCTCCATTGTGTCATATTAAAAGTCAAATTCTCATTTAAATCTAATAAAAAAGATCATTTTTAATATTTTCTAACCAAGTCTTTTTAGGTCGACCTCTACCTTTATTAAGGTAAGTCAAATTTAATATCACTACTATACTAACCGGATCATCGGAAAGCCGACGTGGCCAAATCATTTAAGGCGACTCTCTCTAATCTTATCTTCCACTGGAGCTACTCCAACCTTTAACGTATATGCTCATTTCGTATCCTATCTCTAAGGGTAAAGCCACTAATCCACCTGAGCATCCTCTCTCTACAACACTTAACTTAATATTATGTTTCTCTTTTAATGGCCAACATTTCGGCACCATAAATAAACATATCTTATAAAATAACATTATCTTGAATTAATGATTTCACTAAACTTTAAATAAAAAATTACTTTTAACTGATGCTGCTAAGCAAATTTCAATAACAATGTAAACTTGCATATTTCTGCAGAACTAAACATTAATTATTAATCACTAAAAGTAGTAAAAATTTAGTTACGTACCTTGTGTTCTAATAATTGGCTTCTCAATGGCACGACCACATTCATTGCAGTGTAAATTGAGCTTATAAATAGCTGTTATAACTTGCACTTTCTCCTTAGCCTTGGACTCCACTTGCTCCTTCCTTTCACTGGCTATCATTGCAGCCACAAGCTGAAACGTCAAGGAAGATGGATATTTATTACTCTTTATTGCAAAGGAATGCTTATAGATATTCTTCACTTTGGTAGAAAAAAATAGTTGCAAGACGAATTAAATGAAGAATCTAAATTTGATTTGATTATGGATATGGAGAAGGAACTGTTGAGATTTCTTGAAGATGGTTGCATTGATATATATGGGGAAGTACAATAGGGATAATATTCTCTGAAATTTGAGCTACTATTGTCTATTTCCTCTCTAACCTTAGTACTAGGTAGAAGACGAGGTCTTCACGAAATTATTAGTGATATGTTTCTTCAGCATTAGCTTAAAAATACCTATGGTAAATCCTCATATAAAATATCTAAAAGAAACATTTTTTTAAAAAATAAGGCCAAGAGTATTCCAAAACCGCTACTAGATTTCATGCTATATAGTGGTTTATTATTTACAAAATTGCTTCAAATATATATAGAAATAAAGGGAATAATATTTTTGAACAATAGGTGGCAATTGCTAGTATAATCAAGACTTTAATCATTTTATACAAATATAATAAAAATAATAATATTTACTAACAAATAATTCACTTTTAGCCAAAGTTTAAAAAATGTGTCATAAAGAACATTTAAACACATGAAGTACTTAAAATTAATATTAAGATAACTTAAGACGTCTATGATATATATATATATATATTATTTTTTTAAGAAAATCTATTTGATAAAAAAAGGTGTCCACAGCTTGAATTTTTTAGTTGATGAAAGAGGCTTAACCTTTAATCAACAAGAAAGTTTTTTAAGCGCAGAATACCCATAAAGTACATAAATAGTAAATATAAACAGAAAACAAAATATTTACAAAAAAAAACATCAAACCTCTATCCCACAACGTGGGGTCAGCATGAAAACAAAATATTTCTAAAAGCATAATATTTTGGCCTATATGGCCACTTGAATTCGGATCCTATTAAACTATCATAATAATTAAAGAAAAAAAATCACATTAAAAAAAAACTCGTCCATATATTTTATTTTGAATGACACTTCGATCTTCAAAATTATTCAAAAAGTGAAACAAAAACCATTGTCATTCATATAAAAAAAATCTTAAATTTTAGTAATGGTATCCTTTAATTATCATGATAACTGAAGTCTGAATCATAATCATCTGAATTTGGAATCTCCTTAATTTTTTTATTTTTATTTTTTAAATATTATTACTTACAACCAAAACATGCTTCATTTAAGTTAAGCATTTAAAATTTTCAAAAACTACGAAATAAATAATAACAAAATCATAATAAAATAAATGCAACTTAACAAAATAATTTAATCAATATTTTTTTCAAAAAAAAAATTGTGGACTCCGAAAATTCACGCCTTGGCCTCTTTGATACCCCTTTCTTTTTTTGTGTGCCAAGAGAGTTTTAATAAGTTTAAGTTCCGAGGTAAATTTTCAAAAGATAGATTGGGTTTTAAATTACCCAGAGATTTCGCTCTCATACTACAAGGACTTTATGAATTGAATTCAGGTATCTTATCGATAACCATGATTAGATATTGAAAATTGAAATTTATCACCGCGCACTTAAAACAGATGGTGGGGGGAATAACAATGAACTAGATGAAGATCACATGATTCCGTCGTCCCGAGTCATCATGATCCCTAGTCTACTTTGTCAGAGAAGGTAGTTGACCCAACCTAACCAAAGGATTCTTATCAATAACCATGTGTTACTTCGTCCAAGAAAATCTTGTGTACTTGGGGTGAATGTTTACCTAGGGGATAGATTTGAGTCCACTTTGGCAGAGAAAGGGCTTTGTGACCTATCCATTATACATATTGATTCATTACTCAAGATTTAGAGCCGTTGGGAAACATACGGGCTCTAGATGTGACAATAATTTAGTGATACCATTTGGCAGCAAAACCACCAGGCTAGAGGGCCCTGGTCATAATAGTTTACTTGTGTCATTTGGCGGCGAAACCACCAGTTAGAACTTAGAAGATACGTGTCACGTCCTTACTGGCAAAAGATAGTTTGAGAATGAAAACTAGTGATATTCTTGACTAAAACATTCGCTCTTTGTGATCTAAAGTGATTTTCAAATTTATCCACCTTGACAAAATATTGTGGAGAGTGAATGAATTTTTGCTTTAAATATTTAAGTGCTTTATTTCAATTAGGCACTTTTGAATTTTTGAAAAGTAATAAATTTTAAAAAATTTATTTATACTTGACCCCCAAACAATTAACATTGAGATTTGGGAACATTTCTTTGAAATTCATGTAAACCCTTCCGATTGAGGTTTGCATTCAACATGAGAATCATCTAGTATTTTTAAATATGTAATGTATTTGTCATTTGAACCGTGTCAACTCTGACTACCCACTGACAAAGTATTTAGTTACTGGTGATGAGTTATCTGATAGGAAGTACTTGTAGATCGCAAGTATTTCCTATCAACCTTCGAAAAACAGTGAGCTTTCTCCACAAAATCCACACAAAATCACAAAAACAGTAGATAATTTGTATTACTTGATGAAAGTGAAACGAAAAATAGCAAGATACACTTGATCCTCTATTCGAGAGGAGGGTAAATCTCTCCCAAATCTCTAAACGCAGCTAGAGCCCAAAAGAAACCTAAAATCTAAGAGATATCAAATTTCAGCCAAATTCAAGATGCCCTAATCCTCGAAAAACAAAGTATTTAATGCATACAAATCAAAAAGAAATCCCTAAACAATCCCTACATTCAAATTTTTCTCTCAAAATCCACAAAAATTCTTCCTACAAGGCTCCGCTTAGGCGTGCGGACCGTCCGATCTCCGCAGGAGGCGTAGATTTCTCTCCATTCGCGTTTGGGCCGGTCCCGTGTGGACCGGCTAGACCGATCCAATGGATCGGTCTAACAATACTCTCCTCCCAAAGATCCACCTTGTCCGCAAGGTGGAAAGACGACACCCTCCATTCCTTCTTCATCACAAACGGTAAGAACTTGAAGAATTCGGTCCTTACAACTGTGCTCCGGCGTATACCTCTCGTCTCATCTGAAATAAAGCCCCTTCGCCCTCTTCTCCTGTAATTCTGTCTATGTGAGCTTCTTAAAGTTGTTCCCATGTCTTCCTCATGCAGTCTTTTTCCTTCGAAGTCCCTCGAAGAGTATCTAGTGTTGGCTCCTTGGATTTCAATAAGGTGGTGGTCATCATGTACGAGCCCCCTGAGCTGTCGCCTTCTGTCTCTCCCTCCAGGTGCCTCTGATCTTCTATCAATTGAGCTAGCTCCATAGACTCTCCCAAGTCACGAGGTCTCATTACTCTAAGAGCTGCTCGGATCTCTAGTGTCAATCCCTTCATGAAGTTTCCCTCTAGCACTATCTCAGAAAGGCGGTCCAATCGACTAGCAAGGTACTCGAATCTCTCTCGTCACTCCGTCACTGAACCCTCCTATATCAAGGCGAAGAACTGCTCGTAGAAGTCTCCTCCCCTGCCTGTTCAGAAATGTTCTATCAAACATTCCTTTAACTCTCTCCAACTCCGTATGGGTCATCGCATGTCCCTCCACTGATACCAAGACAAAGCTTTCCCTTCTAAACATAGGCCCGCCGCCATCAATCTCTCCTCCTATGTCAGCCCATTGACAGCGAAATATCTTTCTACCTTGTAGATCCACCCATGTCCATCCTCCACCTCAAAGATTGGCATCTTCAGTTTTCTCACCCTCGGGTCACACCCGTTTCCCCTAAATCCTCCATAACCTCATATTCCTCAAAGCGGAGGTGCTCCCAATTGTCATGATCTTCCTTCCGGCGATCATACCCAAACCATTCATCAAAATCCCCTCTTCTTCTTTCAAATCAGCACCCCGGCGATCGAAATCATCCCCTCACCTTACAAATTCAGCACCCCTTCTTGCGTAGCCAATGCTCATCTCCTCCCTAAAAAGTGGTTCTAGAGAAGGCATTCCGTCTTCTCCCTCCAGGATCTCCACTTCAGGCTTTTCCCTTCCCTTAGACGTGTTAGGGTTCTCATCTCTTCCATGGCCGCCGGTAGTTTCCTTTGCTTCCAATGTCACCGGTTTGATTTTGACTTCAAACAATTTCTTCAACAAGTCTTCCACCATGGCGAATTTTTCCTTCATCTTTTCATTAACGGATGTAATCTGACTTTGAAAATAAGCCATCTTTTCCTCAAAATCTGCTTTGAGTTGCCCAAGTTCTCCCTCCAAAACTTCAACTTTCCTTCCGGCCATTGGTTCCCCTTCAATCGACGTGCACTGATACCAATTTGATTGGAAGTACTTGTAGATCGCGAGTATTTCCTATCAACCTTCAAAAAACAACAAGCTTTCTCCACAAAATCCACACAAAATCACAAAAACAATAAATAATTTGTATTACTTGATGAAAGCGAAAAGGAAAATAGCAAGATACACTTGATCCTCTATTCGAGTCTCTCTCAAATCTCTAGACGCAGCTAGAGCCTAAAGGAAACCTAAAATCTAAGAGATCTCAAATTTCATCCAAATTCAAGATGCCATAACCCTTGAAAAACAAAGTATTTAATGCATACAAATCAAAAGGAAATCCCTAAACAGTCCCTACATTCAAATTTTCCTCTCAAAATCCTCAAAAATTCTTCCTACAAGGCTCCGCTTAGGCGTGCGGACCGTCCGATCTCCGCAGGAGGCGGAGATTCCGCCCTGTTCGATTGGACCGGTCCAGTGGACCGGTCTAACATTATCATACAAATACTGAGAATCAAGAGTTTTATGCTTTTAACAATGAACATTTCTTGTAATAGGCCTTGAAGGCCTAATATGACGCATAAAATCAAATACTCCGATTGGTGCTACGATTGTATATTTGTTCAGTAGTTCAAATTGTGTTAACTCTGGTTCGCTCAAAGAGGAGGATCAAACATGAACTCATGTTCACTTGTGACCCGTGCAGCATCCTTAAACATCACGTGTGTATATACATCACACTCGTCAAAGCCCATGCAGGTA